TCCTATTTTGGAATTCCAACCCCACCAATTGTAATATATTATTATCGAACCATCATACTTGGCTGTTGACCTCCTTGTCATTTTATACCTTTCGATGTCTTGTTAGATAATTTTTTTTTTTATATATTCGTGAGTGTTCGAGCTAATTTATTATATATCTCGACTAATCTCATGAGATAACTACTTAACCCTACTATATTTGATTATCGAGGAAACACGTAAGATATTTAATTCATGACCATCATGAGATTTCAACTCATTCTCTAAATCTTAAGAAATATATATAGATACAATATATATTTTAATTCCTAAACCGTTCTTATTGTTTAAAAGATTTTATTTAATCTCTCGCGTTTCAATATTTTTTAATTATACTATTTATGTTCGTGAATACTATAATTGGTTAATGATGAGTCAGTGTTCACAAAAATTTAAGAAAATGAATTAAGTTACCTGAAAAGGGAGAAAAAAAGTCAAAATTTCTGCTAACTTTATAAAAATTTGGAGGAGAAATTACTTTGCTTTCTTTAAATGACATAACTTTCTCCCACTAAAATTTTACCAACTCATTAAAACTTACGAACAAAAAATATAGAATTACAAAAATGTTAAAACATAAGAGACTAAAATACAAAAAGACTAAATCGAAAAACACTAAAAATTAATTAGGAACTACAACATATATTTTATCGTAATTTACGGTTTGRATTAAATTTTTACTCTCTATACTCTAGCTTTAGTTTCAATTTTACGTAGCTTTAATTTGGTCTGTGTTCTTTTAGAGGTAACATTTTATGCTAATAGTTAAGGTGTGACATGGGAAGGTAATAATGGTTGAAAAACATACATTTCAGGTTAGGTATTGAATCATTATTTTGTCTATGTGGTTAGCTCTAATGTTAGGCTATTATAAAGTGCAATCACATAATGTTGATAAGATTTCTATAACCCTGTATTCGAGTGCCACGGRTAATATCGATTAAATTGCTATGAATTATTTTTTAGTTTAACCACAGATAACTTGATATCTTAGATTTTTATCACTTTGTTATTAACCACATAAATATTTGATAAGTTTCAATCAAAAGACAGATACACAAATAGCGAAACCTTTGTAGAAACTAAATAGAAATTTAGTAGAAATTTAAGTTCAAAGTATAAACGATATTTAATATGACCAACCTGAAACCTAATTTAATTAGTTAAAGACATTTATGTTTGATTAAATCGTAGGTTAAAAAAGCTCACCTCTATCATGTTTAATAAAAATTACTAAAAGTAAATTTGTTCAAATATGACAACTAAAGTTGTTGAGTAACATTCTTGTTTTTTTTCCTCATTCCTGATTTCTTCTTTTTCAATYAAAAAAAAGAATTACATTAAGTAGCTATTTATTATTATTATTTCTTTAAGTTAAATTAATAACCATTTTTGTYTCTGGTTCTCTCCAATTTTAAATTTAAGGAGTAAAAGTTTTCTATGAAAATTAAATATTCAAAGTTTTTATGTTATATTTAGATTTTTATATTTATTATTCTAATAATATTTTTTTTATATAAATTTTGGAAAGAAAAACCGAAAACAAGAATAAGAAAGAGGAGAAACATAAATAATTACCGAATATCTAATTTTCCAATTCGAAAACAGTAACATTTCAGAACCAGGCGAAAGATAACTTGTGAGTTTCAAGTTTCAACACAATACCACTAAACAAAAATGCAGGACAAAACAGAGTACATATATATATTATTCAAATTGAATGAGACTTGCAGAGTCTGAGGGTGAAGAAACCAGAGAAGAAAATCAATCCCAAAACCAAAAATGGAGGCGGAGGCGCCAGCTTTGGTACTGAAGAACGAACACAACCTCAGAATATGTTGGACTGAAGGCCAATCTCAGTCCATGAGGCGCGTCAAGAGACGGCGGAGAGACCCCACCTCTGCCTCCGCCTCCGCCTCCGCCACCGCCACCGATCAAACTAACAAGCAGCAGTCATCCGATCAAGCTCCGACCACCACTACAAAGCGAAGTTCACGGTTTCGCGGCGTCAGCAGGTAAGTTTTCAAGCTTGATTCCGCTCTTAGATTCGTTGCACTGTCCTACTAAATTTGTTGACTCTATGTTGTATTCGGGCCAACGGTCGGAGCCCAGTTCGAGAACCTTCTCTCGTAGACTACCTTCACTAAGTCATCGCTATCGCTAGCCCTCCACTCTTAATCCATTCAAATAAAGGGCGAGTTCTTTTCTCGTGTTGCCCTAGAACTTTCTGAATTCTTTCTCCCGCGGCTGTTCCCTTCTTTCCTTCTTAGATTCTCTCCGTCTTATTATTGATGTGAAATCTAAAACGAGCAGACATAGATGGACTGGAAGGTTTGAAGCTCATTTATGGGATAAGCTTTCTTGGAACATGACACAGAAGAAGAAGGGCAAACAAGGTAAAGTTTTTTTTTTTTTCCCTTTTTCTTTCCTCTCTCTCTCATCTTCATGACCTTTTGATCAACTGGATCTTTTGGACTCCCAATAGTTTATCTTGGTGAGTTAGCTTCACTAATTCCAAGCCTTTTACTCTCTTTGAATAAGATGTTCATGTGTTTTTGTTTGGTTTTATATATGACAATAGGAGCTTATGATGAAGAAGAATCAGCTGCAAGAGCATATGATTTAGCAGCACTCAAGTATTGGGGTGTAACTACCATCACTAATTTTCCTGTAAGCATTTCTCTTGCTTTCGTCTTGGCTTTTTAGAGAATTTCGCTCCTTCGTCCCTCTCCGATAAGGAAGGAAACGAAACAATCTTATGACAAATCCGGTCAGATCAACTGTTATCCATCAACTACAAGGATATAGGGACGATTCTATATTTCATCTTCTGTGCCACTGTTAAAACCCTTTTTCATGAAGACCCAAAACTTAAATGGATGGATTAAGAGTTTCAACTTAGAGTTTTCGCTCTTGATGCTATATCAAATTACTCTTGAGATCGAGATACGTGCTAAAAAGATTGACTTTTCAATATTTTCTTTGTGATGCAGACATCAGAATATGAGAAGGAGATTGAGATAATGCAAACAATGACAAAAGAGGAGTATTTGGCCTCTTTAAGAAGGTTTGGATTCAAAACTTCTAATTTAATTTGTTTTTATGATCAAGTTTGAGTGTGAGATTTGTTTAATTATTGTTTCAGAAAGAGCAGTGGCTTCTCAAGAGGTGTATCTAAATATAGGGGAGTTGCAAGGTGAAGTTTTATTTTCTTAGATTTTTCTTGTGTTCATCTTCGTGAATGTTCTATCCATAAAAAAGGGAAACTGCAAAAGAAACTTGGTAAAACAAATTGTTTTGCAGGCACCATCATAATGGTAGATGGGAAGCAAGAATAGGGAGAGTTTTTGGGAACAAGTACCTCTATCTTGGAACTTATAGTGAGTAATTCTAAAAGATTTATTTTGTTAAGATTCTCATTTCTTGTTTTTTTTGTTTTTCATTTTTAATCTTTTAAAAAGTATATTTGTTAGTTGTTCTGAATTTCTTATTTCTCATTTTTAAGTGTAAATTTTAGAAACAACAAAATTCAAGTTGGCCAACTTGAGGTTAGCTCAATGATAATTCGTACTTGTCTCTGACCAAGAAGTCATTAGTTCGAATCCTCACTCCTAGTCGTTTTACTAAAAAAGAATAAAAACAAAATTATATATATATATATAACATAATCTTTTTTAATGTTTAATTTGAAAAATTAAATTTCATATCAAACTTCTACATATTTTTAATCAAAAAAAATTAGAGAACAAGAAACAATGAACGGGTTACCAAATATGTTTTCAATTATTTTTTCAATAAATAAATAAAAGAAAAAAAGAAGAAGAAATAAGACAGTTACCAAAGTAGTTATATTTTTGTAGATTGAAAAAGAGGAAACAATAAASAAGAAACACGAATATAGAACTTTTAGGGTCTGCTTGATAATGTTCATGTTTCTGGTTTATTGTTTCTCGTTTCCAATTTTATTTAAAAAATCTAAGTATTTGACAATTATTTATGTTTTTTGTTTCTCATTTTTTTTAGAAATATTCTCAAAATTATATAGAAATTTTAAAATAAATAAAAACGAGTTTCTTGTTTCTTGTTCTCGCTTCCATTTTGTTCAAACATAAATAAAAAACTTGTTTTTATCATTCTTGCATCCATGAGTGTTGTGTTGGAGTCATGTAATCCTATTTTTCTTTATAGAAAAAGAAGGAAACGGAAACAATAAAAAAAAAAAGGGTTACCAAACGAGCCTTTAGTAGTGACTTGTTTTAGCAGATTTTGAAAATCTGTCTTAAAAGTAAGTGTCAAGTTTGTGAGCTTGTAAAAGTTGAGTTTATAGTGGATTTGAAAGAGTGATTCACAAGCAAAAGACTTTGAAAATTATTCTAGAAAATAAGTCATCCTCGTTAAAAAGAAAATTTAATAGTTATAAACCGAACTACTCATTCAAAAATATACCATCGACTTATTTGGATGTATCAAATGGTTTTTTTTTTTTTTTTTGGTATAAAATGATTATTTATTTATTTTCTTGTTTCAATGACACGACCGATGCTTGAAAAACATGAATTTAAATCAAATAATTGTTTTAATCGAAAAATGAAAAGAGAGATTAACAAATCTAGTTCTAAATTGCAACTAAAAAAGGTTAAGTTTCAAACAAATTGACAAACACAATCGAACACATTTTAGATTTAAATTCAATAACCTATTAGATTAAGCTATAAAAAAGTTTAGGRACCAATATTGTAATTTAACTGTTAAAAGAAAACTCGATAAGTTTATGTTAAATGGAGGACAGTAGAAGTATAATTTTTTCTCCAAATGCGATTGATGATCATAATTTGCTTAATATTTCACCACAGGCACCCAAGAGGACGCTGCTCGAGCTTACGATATGGCAGCCATTGAATATCGAGGCATAAATGCAGTCACCAACTTCGACTGGAGCAATTACATGGCCTGGCTGAAGCCCCCGCCACCACAAGCCACCGCCAACGGCGCCCACACGACATCGGACCCCCGCAAAGAACTCTGCACCTCTGGCTCCTTCCCGGCAGACGAAACCTCCCTCTTCAAAACTCATCACTTTGACACAGATTCCTTCCATTCCCTTCAGAAGCAAGAGCTTCTTGAGAGCTGCAGCGCCCCTCTCAGTGGTTATGCCAAATCTTCTTCTCCGTCAGCTCTCGACCTCCTTCTTCGATCTTCATTTTTCAAGAAACTGGTTGAGACCAACTCGAATCTCTCTGCAGATGAGGTTGAGAATGGAGAAGAGGCAAAGACTCGAGTGCAGCTTGACAGCGTCTTTGATGAGTTCGGAGACGTCTTCTGCGATAGAATTGCAGACGTCCCGTTCGCTTGCAGTTCCAACAAAGATCTGCAAGAAAGTGAGCTTCATTCGTTCTTCAATGGTGCATTTCATCGCTTCAAAGCAGCCTGAAAGTATGCTTGATTTTGTGTGTACTTTGTTAATATCATCATATCGAATACGTAAATATGGAAGTAAGAACTCAACTCGATCTCGACTCGCTCAACTGTTTTCTTCGTATTTTTGTGGACATGAGTGAATCAACTGCTTAACATTTCTCCCTTTCTCCATTTGAGATCTGTTCTAAAAAATAGATAAACTAAGAGAATAACTTCACACCATGAATCTTAGAGATTGCAGAACCACAAAAAAGTAAAAACCCAGAAAACTCAAGCAAATTGTCGAAACGAACAAAGTAAACAGTTATTCGCGAATCCGAATTCAACATCCTAACAGCTTTGATCTAACTTTGCGGTGATCACATATTTAATGTGTTGGATAATACATACTCTGCGACCACAAATTAGGATCAAAATTGCTTTCTTTTGTTCTTGAAAAGTCTATCYCTCTTGGTGTAAACATAGACCAAAGCAAAGAAAACTACTATAGATATCGAAATAGAACCCCATGGAAATGGTGGGTCTTTAAAGCAAACCAAAGATGCCTCGAGTTCTTGAGACRCCTTGTAGATGATGGAGTGGAGCGCGTACAGGTCATGATCTGAAGATCTTACGTAATACAAAGCCATCTCGAAGTCGAAATGTGACATTGCAGACACCACTTTGTCCAGCTTGTACTTGAAAAGGTTCCACCTCTGAATGAACTCGGTTCTTTGTTTTGGTTTAAGCAGATTTCTATCACCCCCATGTGCAGCTACAGAGTCGAGAACATCAATCACACTAGTGATACTGTGATTCAACGCTGTCAAGATAACATTTCTCCTCGCTGCATCCTTCTGTACAAAAGATAAGGATGAAACCTCTGAGAATGGGCCAAAAGGAGTTTGTCCAATGCTCCACGAGTAATCGACTATGGTGTCATTGTGCCTCGAGCTCCAAGCTAAATGTGTAGGCGAAACTCCCCACATACTCTGTAAAATTGAACCAACAAGCGGCCTCTCAAGTTCCCTTGTATGTGTAAATACATGGCGACCATTACAGCTATAATCACTCACAGTCTGGGTATTCCTTGTCCTTACAGCAATAACCATATCTGTAAATGCTACAGACTGATGGTACCGATCAAGCAAGAGGATCGAGTTCAAGTTCAAATCGAAAACATAAACGGGGATAACTCTGGCCATCTCCTCCTCCTCGGGGAATCCAGCCCTTCTAAACTCCTCAGCAGAATCAGACAGTATCTGATGCAGTCGCTTCGAATCCAAATACTCATTCACAATCAAAGTATAGTTATCGAACAAAAACCTTGAAGTATATGAATACGTGGACCGAGAAATGGCGAAAGCACAAATCGGACACTTCGCATAGCTCACCCTATAAGTCTTGAAACTCAAAGACTGCTCACCCAACAACAACCCACCATCATTCAAGGTTCTCTCAATAGACTTCCAATCCAAATCACTAGCATCACTACTCTCAGAGCCATAAATGTGTATAAACTGAACTACCAATGAACTCTCAAAAGGAACAGGAATTCTCATAGAAGGAACTAAATGAACCTGGTAAGCGCTCCAAACCAACGACGCCAAATCGGCCAGCAGCGCCTTCTGCGACTTCGGGCGGCCGTGCAACGTTGCCAGCGGATGAAACTCGCCTCTGGGAAGAACCCCATCTCCGGACAGCGACGGCCCATAATCAACAGGACCTGCACCCAAATCAACCCACAAATACCTTTCTCCGCCACTCCAAATACTTCCCAAACACTTGGTGACTCCAGGGGAAGAATCCCCATGGCCATAGTTGTAAGCATAGGGCTTCGATTGGGAGCCCAAATTGAGCAAATATATGTAAACCCCTTGACCGGATTTCTCCTTCTCAAAATCCTGCTTGATAACATGATCCACAGAAGCGTAAGGAATCGCAAGAAGCGAAGATCGGAGGCTAGAAGTGGTTTTGGAGATTTCAGATGCCAATATCTCAGAGAGATGGGAGGCCAAAGATGSAGCATGAGAGACATCGAGATGGAGCGAGTGTTTAACGGCGAGACGGTGTTGAAACGAATCAAACGGAGCGATTACATGGAAATGGTCGGAAGGGAGAGATGCAGAGAGGAAATTGGAGAGATGGGTGGATGAATCGGAGGGGAAATCACCCACAAGGCGGACATGGAGAGAGAAAGAGAGGGAAAGAGAGAGAAGAGAGGAGATGAAAGAAGGGATGAGAGGGGGCGGAGACGAAGAGAGAGAGAGGGATTTCTTGAGGGAGGATGAGAGGGAGAGAAATGTGTCGTTGGAGGCAGGTGGGTCGAAGCGAGATTGCTGAGCCAGAAACGAATCGAGGCCAAGGATCGGAGCGGCGGTGGCGGTCGGGGGGAAGGCGGCGGCGATGATGAACAGAAGGAAGAGCGCGGCGGCGGTGGGCATCTTAGGGTTTTGGATTGATTGATCGATGGATCGGAAATGGGGAAAAGGGGGTTTCTGTTAGGGGGTCCGGCGAAAACCCATCGGAAATATGAGCGGATTGATCGGAATTGAAGGGAAATTGAGGAAGAAGATGATCCAATGGAGTGAGCGAGTTCAGTGATGTCTCTTCCCGAGTCAACCAGGAGAGGACATGGAAATTGGAAATGAAAAATCTGCAACTTATTTATCTTACGTTGGCTTCTTCTTTCCTCTGCCTGCAAAATATATTTATCTTTTAAAATGATATATATACTTTTGAGAAAAATAATTAATTTGAAAAAAATTAAATTTTTATTATGGAATTCATAAAGAGTATCAATTTTTATATCACTTTCAATTTTATCAAATTCTAAAACAAACTAAGATACGTTTTTCTTTTTTGGAGGAATTACTTAGATACACAGCCATGTCAAAATATAAATATATGTGTGTTGCAAGTTTCACCTTAAATTTTAGAAAATATTKTAATTCTTTATGAATTTTGATGTGAAAAGTCCTTGAATATAGTTTGGGTAGTTTAGGGTCTCAAGGAATGACCTTGAGGTTTGGGTTAAGTCAAGTAATGATCTCTTCAGCAAAAGTATTTTTAAAATTCTATTTAAAATCTGGGTTTTGACAAATTCGATTCATCCAAACGACCGTTACAAGACGGCTTTTAATGTTTCATTCGGACAGTTTCAATGGAACGTTATGCCATTCGGATTGAAGAATGCTCCTTCCAAATTTCARAAGATTATGAACGACATCTTCAGCAAATACCAAGATTTCACAATAGTCTACATTGATGATATTCTGGTATTCTCGAATACTGTAGATCAGCATTTTAAGCATCTCCAGTTATTCCTCAATATTATCATAACAAATGGTCTTGTGGTTTTCCAGCCAAAGATCAAGTTATTCCAAACGAAGGTTAGATTCCTCGGTTATGATATTAATGAAGGAATTATCAAGCCAATCCAACGGTCTCTCGAATTCGTGGATAAATTTCCAGATATCATACAAGACAAAACACAACTACAGCGTTTTCTGGGTTGTGTAAATTACATTGGAGACTTTATTAAAGATCTCCGTACAATCTGTCGGCCATTATATGACAGATTGAAGAAGAATCCAAAGCCTTGGACTGTAGATGATACACGCGCAGTCCAATCCATCAAATCACTGGCGAAAAGCATCCCATGCTTATCTCTAGTGGATGAACAGTCTCGACTGATAGTAGACACCGAAGCGTCAGAAATTGGTTACGGCGGTGTTCTCAAACAGGAAGTTAACGGAAAAATCACAATAATTCGTTATCATTCAGGCATCTGGAATAGTGCCCAGAAAAACTATTCCACGGTGAAGAAAGAAGTATTGGCAATAGTACTTTGCATTCAAAAGTTCCAGGGAGATCTTATCAACAAGGATTTCACCATACGGACAGATTCGAAAGCAAGTAAATACATCTTTGAAAAAGATGTAAAAAATCTGGTCTCAAAGCAAATCTTTTCAAGGTGGCAGGTCATACTGTCTTGCTTTGATTTTCAGATAGTGCCTATAAAAGGAAGCGAGAATTCCCTTGCTGATTACCTCTCAAGAGAACATCTCTTGAAAACCCCAAAATCAGCTATGATCTCTCCTCTTTCTGATGGAACCTCCTCCCGGCCGGAGACGGCCAAACACCCAGCGGCCTCTGCCACAAAACAATCAACGACCCCCGTCGCCGAGAAATGAAACAACTATTTCTCCTCAAACTGTAGCATCCTCTTCAAGAACTGCTACCTCAAAGGGCAAAAGGCCCATTTCTCAAACATCTGTACCATCTCCAATGAGTGCAGAAAACTATGCCATGGATATCCAGTTCGAAACTGTATCCAAACGCCAGCAAGGTTCTTCACAAAAGACCTTGTCTATTCAATCAGGCCCTTCTGGCCTTCCCATTCCCTCAAGCACGCTGTTACGCCCCTTCGGTAATACAACGAGAAACAGGCGCCCTGCTACAGCAGCCGCCTCTTCAAAACCTACGGTTCCGAGGAATCCTTCCTTATTTTCTCAAATCGTAAGGCCAAAAGTTTTTCAACCAAGGCCTCCAATTAATGGTTATTTCACCAAGACTACCCTGGTGGACTCAACCATCAAACCAGAATTCGACGGACCTTCGGTCTAAGAAGTCTGTAAGCAAATATTTCCTCATGGCTTTAATTTCCTGCCAGAGGATCTTCAAAAGACCCGTACCTTTTATGAGTTTATTCTGGTAGATTCCAAATCTGCAGAAATAACTCATATCCCAGATAGAAATGATCCTTCCATGACCATTTACTCAAAACTCAGAATCTTCTGCATCTTACCCCTTCCTCCTGGAAACAGGGTATGCTTGTAGGTAAGAAACTGACGAGGACCTTTCAGCCTCAGACATACAACTATCGCGATTACATGAAAGCGTGGTATGTTGTTTTCTGGCTACAAGGTTACAACCATTCTTGGTTTTGTGACTTTTTGTAAGAAGCTTACAAATCGCACTTCCCAAACTGGTTTCAAAGTTGGTGGACATACTTTGGACTCTCCGAGGAAATTTTTCCGGTTGAAGTTCAAAGATCGTACCATCTCTTCCAACAAAGTATCTACTCGTCTCCCCTCTCTAAGACGTTTAGATTTGCTTTGTATTTCCAAATACCATGGATCTTTTGCTGGAATTTCCAGCTAGGACCCAGTGGCAATTTCAAAGCGTTGAGCAAAGCTTTACGCATCAAGTGGTGGGAAAAATTTGATTATTCCTACCTAGAAGCTGAGAAGATGAAGAACTGGTTCAAAACCATTGTTCATCTTCAAGACATGACGAGGCAAGAAGACGAAAATTTTCTTCTAGCCAATAACGCCGTCATGAGCTCACTAGCTGGAGCCGGATCTCAAGCCGACTTCAACTCAGTCCTCAATACAGTCGCGGTTCAGATTTCTGATCCAGACGATGTTCAGACAGATGTTGACTCCTCCGCCTCTGTCAATAATGATGTTGAAGACAACGAAGACGACTTCGATCCCTTCGAAGGCTACGACATCAATGATCCATATCTAGATTCACAGCCCAGCTGATACTGAAACTAGATATTTCAAGTGTTTAATTTATTTTTCTTATTGTAAATTAATTTAAATTAATTTGTTTAAATTTCGTTTTAACTTTTGGATAAGATCATTGTATTCCGATCTTATCATCACTATCCCAGTCTGTTTTTGTGAAGAATTGYAGAAGGAATTCCGATGAAGTAGATGTCAAGCTTCTGATGTGGAGTAATCAACCACGAGGCAGCGCAGTTAGCGTATAAGATTGACTCAGTTGAGAGGATTCTATATCTCACAAGGCAACYCTGGTCGAAGATCGAAGGTGTTCCTTGGGCAGTTTAGGCGAGAGGCCGTGAGTAAGACCCTGGACGGAACGGCCTAATCTGAAGTCGGAGAAGCCTTTACGATGATATACAGAATCCGCAATCCTCGCTAAATCAGAAGAAGCCGGGTGACTTCGTCAAAACTTCTGAAGCAAGTTTCCAATCCAAAAACAGACATATCAACTTTCACTTTCTATCTTTACTTTAATTTGGCAGTTTGTAATAATTTTCCGCTTTACTTTATTTCTTTTCTTACTTTTTAAAAGATAAGATGCCCCCTGTCGGCCACGCTTATCTTTGCTTTTATAAAGTAGATTCCAAAGAGATAAGATGCCAGTCAAGGACTTGTCTTGTCGGCTAATCTTTATCTCTTTTGTTRTATCAAATTATGTTGAGACAAGTGTCAAGACAATAGTAAGAAACCAATCAAACTACCCTTATGGCTATAGAGTTATTTCGATCAACTTCCACACAGTGGCACAGACCTCTAGGAAAATTTGAAAACCACTGAAATTTAATCCCCAAAACTAATGCTTAACGTGCAAGAATGTGGGCCGCACCATTAGATTCCCTAAAAATATGGTTGAAAGAGATTTCATCAAAAAAACTGGAAAAAAACTTTAATATGTTCTACCCAGTTTGCTTCCTCGCTCAACCAAGAAGATTTCCCCCAAATAAGATTTAGTTAGGGCTTCCATACAGTCAGCTTCCACAACAACCCTCCTTTTGTTTAGGCTTCTTGCAAACGACAACCCTTCTTGGATTGCATAAAGTTTGGCATGAACATCCACCATGGTCGCCGAAAGTTCCAAATCTGCATCACGGACAACAACCCCAATGCCCAACCGATTGTTCCCACAAAAGCCATCAACATTGATTTTATTTAACCCTTCCGGAGGGAGTTCCCAACTATTAGCCCGAGGGTGTCTCACGGCCTGAGATCTCAATCTCAGCTGATTGTTCGAAGAAAACTCCTCCAYATATCCCATTATCCAGGTGGCTTTGGATACCACATCAGGAACCTTCCCCTTAGAAACCCAGGAGTTTCGATCATTCCAAAGAGCTCAGCACGTGATASCAGTAAGCGTGAGTTCTGTCGTGCTCAAACGATTCATCCAATCCGCCCAGCAGTCCAGGAAACTACAATATTGGCTGGTACCCGACGCAATCACAGGCAGAATAAGGCTCCAGATCTGCTGCGAACGGGGRCATTCTAAGACAGCGTGGATAACTGATTCTTACTTCTTTAGGCAAACCGRGCGTAAAGGTAAAACATCCATCCCCTTCCTTCTCAAATTTGACATAACAAGGAGACAAATTTGGCACGCTCTTTATAAAAACACATTCACCTTTGGAGACATAGGAATTTTCCAGAAATTTCTCCACCAAGATTCATTGTTGTTGTCACTAGAGGACTGAGATAGTAATTTTTTCGCATCACCAACTTATAGCCACTTTTAACTGAGTAGACCCCATTCTTATTATAATGTCAAATCCATCTATCAGAAACACCTTGGCTGCCAATAGGGATTTTTTTTATAAGCTCCATATCTGCATCAAGAACAACCTCCCCTAGTTTTGGAATATTCCAAGAAAACCAAGGAGTTATAAAATCCTTTACCCAAACTTGCGTCTCCGGATTAGGATTTGAGGAAAAACGCCTAAACCTTGACTCCCGAGGAATCCAAGGATCCCTATAAAAATCAATGGTAGTGCCAGATCCAACAACCTTTCTTAAGCCCAACAATAACAGATCTCTGCTCCATCTCACCCCTTGCCAAAAATAGGAAGACTTTGAAACCAGACCAACAAGGAACAATCACGGACATAAATACTTTTAATAAC